CGAGCTCCTAGTGGAGTCTGGTTTAATGAGCTTTAGTTCAARTATGCATTTATCAATTCAGTATTATAAGGAGCTTGTCAAAACAGAGTCCTAAAACTTCAAACTAAGATTTTAAAATGAATTCTAAAATAACAGAAAACATGAATCATTTGGACACTTCTGTTTAGAGGTGAACCGATTCACTCAAACCTCGATTCGATTATTGATTTTAAGTTCACAATTCTTTTTTTAATAGCCAAATATGTCTCTTTTCTTTTAACATCAGCATTTTTGTCCTTATATTAAACTATAACTGCCTGTTGTCTTTKTAAATTACTGTTATACAATAACAGTGACTTTGATTCCTTGATTTTTATGAATCGATTCACATTTTAACAGTTATAAGTGATTATTTGATTGTTAAATCCGGTTATGAAGTGTTGTTTTGGACCACCTTGGATGATCCACWGCTTTTTGTTAAATATGGTAATAATTTCATTACAATAATTTAAAATGCAAGAAATAAGAGCCRGTATACAGTTCATGTTATGACAGCCTTTTAAACGGTTGTCAAATGATAAAAATTGTTTGGAACCAACTGTTTCAACCTCYATGTTCCTCAGATCTGATTTAACAACAGAGTTTAAATGAACAATTTGTTGTGAGATCAGAGGAAACAATCCTGATCCTGAAATGTTTCAGTGTTATTGGGTTTGAATAAGTGTCTGTTTTTAACGTCTCAACTTTTTTTTCCACGTTAGCTGAGAACTTAACTTAGAGAACAAAGAACTTTTGTGTCGTTCTTCCCCTTAACTAGACTTTCACTTCCAGGGTCAGCGTCGTACCCTGCAGCTGTGTGACTGCCACCCAGCTCTTCTCTTCCAACCCTCCATTCCAAACSAGACGATCTGTTAACAAACCTCGAGGGTCATTAACTTTAGTGACGGCCTGTGCGAGTAGCCAGATGAATTATGAGGCCTTTCACAATAGAGGAACGCCTGTCTATATCTTTAAAATCAGAAGGTCACCCTCTGCCCACCCGAGCCCTGCCACCGCACCCTCAGCATGAGAGTCCCTTTGCTGGGGAGGGGGGGGGTGAGCCAAATGAAAGGAGTGCTTGAGGACGGAACAGAGGCTCGACTGTGCTTGGGTTGCACAGTCAGATCGGGGGTCCCGGAACTGCGCACACAGTGTTTTGACCCCTAGGCTCTCCRCAGCAACCTACACCCCCTCAGCTTACGGACAGTGGGCCCCGGGGTCCCGGTCCATGCACGCTCTCTCAGCATTGTGACGCAGTGAAAGAGGGCAGGGAGGGTGAGAGGAGCGTGGGGAGTGGCTGGCAGAGATTGTCATTCACTAATATACGACAGCTCTGACATGAATGACCGAACACGGAAATGTCACCGAAATACAGCGGGTAAAATAAGTATTGAACACGTCACCATTTTTCTCAGTAAATATATTACTAGAGGTGCTAATGACATKAAATTTTCACCAGATGTTGGTAACAACCCAAGTGATCCATACATACAAAGAAATCAAACCATAAATGTCCAGAAATGAAGTTATTTGTAATAATGTGGAATGGCACAGGGAAAAAGTATTGAACACACTTACTGAAATTTATCTAATACTTTGGACAAAAGCCTTTGTTGTCAATGACAGCTTCAAGACGCCTCCTGTATGGAGAAACTAGTGGCATGCATTGCTCAGGTGTGATTTTGGCCCATTCTTCCACACAAACAGTCTTCAAATCTTGAAGGTTTCGTGGACCTCTTCTATGAACTCTGATCTTTAGTTCTTTCCATAGATTTTCTGTTGGATTCAGGTCAGGTGATTGGCTGGGCCATTCCAGCAGCTTTAGTTTCTTTCTCTGAAACCAACTGAGAGTTTCCTTGGCTTTGTGTTTGGGCTCATTGTCTTGCTGAAATGTCCAGCCATGTTTCATCTTCATCATCCTGGTAGATGGAAGCAGATTTTTATCAAGAATGTCTCTGTACATTTTTCCACCCATCCTTCCTTCAATTATTTGAAGTTTGCCAGTACCATATGCTGAAAAACAGCCCCACACCATGATGTTCCCACCTCCAAACTTCACTGTTGGTATGGTGTTTTTGGGCTGATGTGCAGTGCCATTTGACCTCCAAACATGATGTGTATTCTGGCATCCAAACAGTTCAATGTTGGTCTCATCTGACCAGACTATATTCTCCCAGTATTTCACAGGCTTGTCTAAATGTTGTGCAGCAAACTTTAAAGGAGCTTCAACATGCTGTTTCTTCAGCAGTGGAGTCTTGCATGGTGAGCGTGCATACAGGCCAYGGTGGTTCAGTGCATTACTTATTGTTTTCTTTGAAACAATCGTACCTGCTAATTCCAGGTCTTTCTGAAGCTCTCCACAAGTGGTCCTTGGCTCTTAGACAACTCTTCTGATAATTCTTTTCACTCCTCTGTCAGAAATCTTGTGAGGAGCACCTGGTCGTGGTTGGTTTATGGTGAAATAATGTTCTTTCCACTTCTGAATTATGGCCCCAACAGTGCTCACTGGAACCTTCAGAAGTTTAGACATTCTTCTGTAACCGATGCCATCATTATGCTTTGCAACAATAAGGTTGCAAAGGTATTGAGAGAGCTCTTTACTTTTACCCATCATCAGATGGTTGTTGTGTGATACCTGGCCATCATTTGGGACTGAACCAGCTGATATTAATTTGCACTGACAAGGGGCAGGTTTGCTTTCTAATTACTGAGAGAGTTCAGCTGGTGTCTTGGCTTTCCATGCCTTTTTACACCTCCCTTTCTTCATGTGTTCAATACTTTTTCCCTGTGTCATTCCACATTATTACAAATAACTTCATTTCTGGACATTTATGGTTTATTTCTTTGTATGTATGGATCACTTGGGTTGTTACYGACATCTGGTGAAAATTTCATGTCATTAGCACCTCTAGTAATATATTTACTGAGAAAAATGGTGAYGTGTTCAATACTTATTTTACCYGCTGTATGWGTGGTTTGTTTCATGCAGTGAAATATACATAATAAACTCAATAATMCCACCAGACATGAACAGTATGTAATAATGTGCTTTAAAACAGCCACACAAGCAATATGCAAACCTTACCATCAAAAGAACCATTTCAGACCCTTTCACACAGAGTCAAATTAGTCCAGAGCCACAAAACATACTTGAAGATTTAATTAAACAATCCAAATTTAGAGTTGAATTAGCCTTTTCTKTGAAAATGCAGTAACTGGTTGATGCTGAAAGATTTTTACAGAAAAAAAGATGTACAAAAAAAGCTCCAATTTGCTGAGAAATAGCTGTAAAAATTGAATTCTAAATTTAGCAGGAAAGTAGCTGAAAAAGCTGAATCTAGCACTAAGAAGCAGAAAGAGAATGTGCAATTATCAGAATAAGGTAAGTTTAGCTGAAAAAAGCTAAAATTGGCTAAAAAGTTSCTAGAATTGCAGAAAACAGCTGAAAGAAGCACAAAAAGCTTACATTAGTAGACAGAAACTGATGGAGGTTCAAAAAAGTTTAAATCAGCAGAATAGCTGGAAAGAAAATAATTGAAAAATAAGGGGGAAAAAAGCTAAAATTCGCACAAAAAAGGACGCTTAAGTAAGCTAGAATTAGCACAAAGAAGTAAAAAAAAAAATAGCAGGACAAGAAGAAGACGTAAAAAGTACAAGAAAAGTTTACAAACATTTTAAAAGATTTTCATGGATGTTGGATGGAGCTCCATTTATTGGAGAAGCTAAATACAGTATCCAAAAGTCATACCCAGAATGTTCTGAACATGATAAATGTTTTGATGYTGAAATATTTGAAATCAAACTACAATTCATACTGAGTTGCTATTGAAAAATGTGCCAAAAAAAACAGAAAAAAACAGGTGATCTCAGGTATGAAATAATAAACTATCAAACAGAAATTTGCTTCACAAACTGGACAAGAGAACTGCTCAAATGATGGTTCTAAATATGTATTTCCAGGTTAGTTTTGAGGCAGGTTGCAGATCCCTGATCTAAACCATAAAAGCAGTTGCTTGAGTGGACACCTTGTATTTGTCTTTGCCTGATTTGACTCATCTTCAGCTGTTTGTTCACCTGATGCTCTCTGCTTCAGCGTGTCCCGGGTGAAGCTGATGGATCGGTCCCATTTATGAAGCTGCTGCTCCTTCATTGATCAATCAAGTCTGTGACACCGAGATACTCATCACATGCAAGTACATGACCACTAGCAGCTGGTGGAGACACAACCTTATTCATGTACAGTTAGATTGTAATTGTGTTATGATTGTTCACTGACTTCTTAATCAAACTTCACTTGTTAGCTGCAGTGTTGTCACATGAAAAAAGGTCTTTTAAGTTTTGTTGCCACAAAGATACATCCTTGTAGTAGATTGTGTGGCTTTTAAGAAGAAAATGTTAACAGATTGAGACTTTTGCAATGCTGTACTATAGTTTTAGATTTAAAAAAGTGGGAAAAGACACTCATCAGTGTGGCTGGTAAATAAAGCAAAACAGCAATGTTTCCACAAACCAAAGCTCAGATAAACATTTTCTGAATATCTTTAAAAGAATCTTGCAAAAAAAAAAGTTCCACTGACCACTGAGTCGTTTAAAATACATAGTTTTATAGTKTAGAACTGGTCACTTGTTGAGCCAGTGATAGCAATGAAAGCTTAAATAACTCAATGAAACTTTACTAACCACAATATAAACTTGAAGTCCTAATGTTAGGCTATTATTCMAATGTCTGGGGTCCAGCTTTCCCTGCAGTAACTGCTGTGTTCCAACATTTTCAAGCCTTTAGTCAAAGATTACTAATGCCCCCAAGTGGTGATAAATAATATAAACAATTTTAGCAGCTCAGTTGATGACAGCTCAGATTATTATTATTTTTAATACCGCTTTAGGCATTCTYATAAATTAACCACCCGTTTTACTTCAAACTGTGGGATTTTTTTTAATTCCACAAACTGCAGTTACYACACAATGTTAAACAAACCATATCATTGCCAGTTTTTAATGTTTATTTGAAAGAAACTAAGTTTTCCATTATTATGTACAAAAAGGCAGCTTTGACAATAGAGGAAAAGATTTAATATCCTCTGTCACTGCAGGGATCAAAGAGGTGCACTTTAATATGGAAGAAGTCCAGAATTTTCAAAGGTTTAAACACAAAAATGAAATATTTTTCCCATCAGTTTTCTAAATAGTCCTTTCTTAGCGTTTCCTTTTGGTCTCAAACTTGTAGATAGCTGCAGAAGTAGCTGTCTCCTTTTTGACCTTCACTTTCTTCATTTTGTCCTGGAGGGAGGAGAAATATAAGCATCAACATGTAGACAGAGCAGATTAGCATATTTGGTTTTTGTTTAAGAACAACTCACCTGTAGATCCTTCCGGGTTTGAATTTTCTGGCTGATGACAAACATTTTCTTTTCTCTGTCAATCCTCTGCGACAAGATCTTATACTGATGTTTCCTTTGCTTGGCCAGCCTCTAAAAACATAGACATGATTGTTTTACCRCGGAGTTAAAGTTCAGATTAAAGAACTGATTTAACAAGAAAATGAATTTTGGAAATCAGAGAAGTATTTTTTTTCTCAGAAAAAGTCAAATGAATATGATCTTTTCTCGTTAAATTTATTCTTTACCTGCAGATCTCGCAGCCCCACAGCTCCCTGGATGCTCTTGGTTTGCAGTGTTTGCAGAGTTGGTCTGTTGTACACTCTGTCCACCAGCTCTGGAGCCGTGTTCAGGTGGGAAGCAAGGTCAAASTCCTTTACTGAGAAGGAAAACATAAAACAAAAGTTCTCTAAATTAACTAACTCTGATGTATATTTGTTAACATCAATTAAACCATTTTCAAATAAATGATAAATCTACAACCATCAGCTACTTATCTATTCTTTATCTAGCATACAATTATTTTTTTTTACCTTCATTCTTGGAATCCACAAAAAAGGTATGTTTGTTCTTCTGTTTGCCTTCCGCATCCAGAAGATGGAGCTCTCCTTTCAGCCTCTCAATTTTCTGGGAACACAAAATATYCCAACCAACATTACAGCACAGACCCCGGGTTTATACCGTTACATTGTCACTCGTTTCCAACAATTTACGCTGCGTTCACCCCGCTCTGGTGAGAAGCATGCGCAGGAAATGCAAGATTTTGCAATAAAGACAGTGATAAATGTGGAAGTCTGACCAAAACAATTCATTCTATGAAATACGGACACCAAACAAAGACCGTCCATCATTAAACAGAGGTGGAGGCCTCCGTTTTCAGTTGTCCCCCTCCTACAGTGCTGCTATTGCCAGTATCACTCCACCCCCTGTTAACAGTAAGTGTTAATTAGGTGTCAACAATAGCCATGTGATCTATCAGTCACATGGAGGCAGGGCTTAAAAGCTTGAATTTTGCCTGAAACTCTCAGACTGAAGAAGTCTCTTGGAGAAGAGACAAAACGTTTTATTAACCCGTCCAGAGGACCTATACAATTTTTTTCTTTTTGATTTTTTACCTGGATTACTGAGATGCATCAGGACACCAAACAATGTATGAAACTGTTGTCTTTTTTTGAATACATATTTCTAAATAAAATCTACGTTTTGTGTGTATGCTGCGATCTGACCCCCAAACTGGTTGATAAATTTTGACGGCATGTATATATAAATACACCCATTATATGTATTATTAAAGCTAGAATATCTACAAAATATAGTCTGCCTTTGGTGAATTATTTTGAAAATATGGATGTCGTGTTCATTCCTTTTCCTGTTGGTGTGATGTGATCTTTGCRGAGTGACTCCRCACTTGCTCYGGTGTCAGGCAAAAACAGGATCAAATCTAATTTCGGCGGATCTCTGTGCGCACCAAGGTTATAATAGTTTTGGATTTTTCATTACAGTTTAGTTTTATTCAGTTTAGACTTTTTTTCTTTTAATTCAGTTAGTTTTAATTAGTTTTTACAGTGGATTTGCTGGTTTTTCTTGGTTATTATTGCATTTTTAATGCTTAGTTTTTATTAGTTCTAGTATTAGTTTTTTTATAGTTTGAATAAACATATTTGCCAATGCATCCTCAATCTTGTGATGTTCCTGTGAGTCAACTAACCAACAGATATTTGGTCACTAGTTAAAGCAGTCCATTATAGCGTAACTCAATTTTGCCAACTAAAAACTTGGGCGATTATTTTAGGATGACGACAATAGTTGTCTCCAACCCGGTGCTGCTTGTTTTTCAGAGATCCACATGTCTCAAAATAAACTGACAAACACTAAAACTAAGGATACTCAATCTATAATTTCAGTTACAGTAGTTTTAGTTAGTTTTGTACAAAGATTATACAGTTATAGTTAATCGTTTTTTCATTTTATCACAGTTTTTATTTATTTTAGTTAACTAAAATGTTTTGTCAATTTCAATTTTCGTTATTTAGTTAGTTTTTGTTAACTACAATAACTCTGGTGTGCACGCTGCCACCCTGCATATGCAGTGTAAATGCTCTCCTTGATTATACTGGGTGTGTTTTTACTGCGGAGGTCAGAGTGGAGCAGACTCGGAGTAAATTGGGGGGAAAATGGAGATACTCAGTCATGGGACACGATCTGAACACTCACAATGTGGACACAGATTACATAGATGCCAGATCTCCAGAACTTATAACACGTTCTCCTCGTGCCAAGATAATGGTTTTAACATGTCATCTGGACAACATAGTCACTTCCAAGCAAACCATTTAAAATTGTAAGCTTGATGATGTATACAGTCTGTCAGGGATTGTCTCAAAATAAATGCAGTACATGATATATTGGAAGCTCCACATTGAATCACTGAGACATAAAACACACCTTGGCTTCTGCAACCCTTTTCATCTCCACATATTTCATATCCTGAGTCCTCATCACTTTCTTCTGTTCCTCGGTCACTTTCACCTCCTCGTTGGCTTTCTTCATCGTGTGAACGTCATCCTGTCATCACAAAAAMCCTCAAAAAATAAACAAATTGTTTACGTAAGACCTACACCTGAAAGGATCTGAATAGTGATTTGCACCTCCAGCTTGGAGTTGATCATCTTGTGGTAAAACTCATCTGGGTTCTTGTCCAGGGCTTTCTTTTGCAGGGCAGCGAGGGTGTTTTGCTTCTTGTGAAAGTCACTGTGATTTTAAAAATAACAAATATAGGCATATACCCACGTACCACATCTGGCAAAAAAAAAATCTTAAATGAGAATTAAAARATAAAAATATTTAACTTACTCTGCTCGGAGTTTGTAGTCTTTCTTTTTCTCCAGTAAACCCAAAGTTTTCCTAAAGACAGGCTGGTTTGACAAAATGACACTGCTAATAATAATAATAATAATAATAATAATAATAATAATAATAATAATAATAACAACTATTATCATTAATGTTGCTGATGTTTGCTGTTGACGAAAACACAACCTGTTAGCATAGCTGTACCCATAGCTAGCCAGTTATGCTAAGAAAACACTGCTCACCTGGGATCTTTCATGGTGGTTTCTCTGTCGAGACTTTAGCGCTTTTCTGAATGAAGACATTTTCGAAAATGGTCCCTATAATAGTACCGATTAAATGGAGTTAAAGCAGGAACATGTGAAGGTTTTTTTTTTCTTCTGCAGCTTCAAGTTCTGTTGCCTGCCTCTCTGCTGAACACGTGTCTTCCTGTTTGCTGTGTGCCGATTTTCATTTCCGGTCCGCAGATTCGCAATTTTTTAAAACAAATAAACAAGCAAAGAATTAATAAATAAATACGCGATGTTATATGATAATTTAACCATGTATGTGTCTTATTTAAATAAATAAACATTAAACACTGYATTGGGTGTGTTTTACATTATTTTGGGTTTGGGGTTTTGTTTAACATGTTGTAGTTAATAAATATGAACACTAGAGGGCACTGCTGTATCAATAATATATGTTTTGGGCCAATTGAAGTTTAGAAAAAATTGTAATCCGTTTGATGTATTGCACTTTTAATCTTTCAACATTAAAGTATGAAGAAAGTGTAAGTCTAAATTAAAGTACTTGYACTTTTGTTCAAGCTTAATTTAATGATTAGTGTGTGTATAACTGTCACTTTGAAATTATACCTAAAATTTCAGCTTTCAAAAGCACTTCACCCACAACACTGGTCATAAAATRGGACCCACAGCTCTCAAAAGCTGATATCCTTTTGTATCTTGGTAATAACTAGCTCAATTTTCTAATTTAGATYTAACACAACTATTATTTGCAATTTGAATTACCGTTACTTTTTTCAAGATCAAAATGTATTTATAAATTGTGTGTTACCAATATCCACTCTGTGTTGTTTGCACTTTTCTTATATTATGATTATTTTACTGGTTTTATGCCTTAATCATTCCAAAACTGATTTCATTCATTTTTTTCTTTTTWTTCCCAACGAAAAAGCTGTCAGTCAAATATTTCCTAACTTTCYCATAGCCTACAGATTAAAAATGTTTGAATCCCACAAGTACAATCTACAGTTTTAAGATAAAGCTCACTTGAAAGGAAAACATATCTACACATACAGAGCTTCTTTGTTGTTTTTGTCTCCATTTGAAAAGTGCTGCAGGATCTCAAAAGATGAGGGGGGGTCACTGCTGTACCCTGGGAGAAACTCTGTCCACTTCCTGAGTCGATAATGTGGAGTGAGGAGAGAAACAAAGACAAAGCTACAGCGGCACCAGTCCGCCAATCTCACCCAGAWCTCCACCTCTTGTGAGACAGTGAAAAAAAGGTCACTATCTCCTCCCGACCACAAGGAATTTGTTTTGTACGTGTGAGATTTGCCCTGCTCACAGAATGTTTTGTGGGTGATGATACCTATGAATGGGATCAGTGTTTCCACATTATGTCAGAGGCCTGTTTATCATTCTGGTTCCCGAGAAGGTTCCTGCCCCCCTGTCTGATCTGCTCGACCACAAACATGTTTAAAAAGGCAAACATACATGCCCACACTCTGACTTACTGGGCTCCGTGCTGCTTAATTCATGTGAGTATTTATCATTACAAGTGAAACGCCTGGTGAGCCACAGCGGGGGTAAATACTACTTTGGAAATCAGAGGCTCGTAACACGCTGATGCAAGAACAGGAGCTCTAAAGCTTGTGGGTTTGTTCAGGGTCAGCAGTGGAGGAATGCCCTTGCGGAGCAGATGTAGAACCACTTGGTTYGCTAATATGACCCTGTAAAAATAACACTGCTGACATATTGTAAGACTTCTGTACTCAAGCTGAGCTCAAGACTTTGGTATGTTTCCCCACACTATGGTTGGTCCTCATCTGGAGCGAGCTGTGAGGCAAGCCCAGTCAAAAAATGCATGAGGCAAAAGTTCCTCCTGTGCGATGGCTTATTTACCTATTTCCCCTTTTGTTTGTTGCGAAGGAAAGTAACCAAGCAATAAAGTTTTTTTGTGTGTGTGTGTGAGTGTGTGTTGCAACATTTCAGTCTCTTGTTCTGTGAACAGTTTCCTTAATGCACATGTCTGACAGCTACAGGATCTCAACAATGTAATGTCTTCATCAGGAATTTAAGGAGGTTGATTCTGTGCTCGTGATGGTTCTTCAGTGGGTTTAGAACATGTGCATTTGAAAGATTTACAACAGTTCARAGACCAAAGTCCATATTAACATCTAGAGAAGATAATATAATCCTGGAGCTTGTTGCTAAGTTTTTATTATGTAATACATTTGCATAATGACAGTATACTGACTATTTTAGGTCATCGCCTGAAACTGTTGACCTGACAGATTCAAATCAATTTTATGTGTACATTTTTTCTACATACCTAACAGGGRTGGGCGATACTATTGGTATCGATATAATAACAAGCGCCAATTTTGATACTTGTCACGTTCGTTGAATAATTCGATGATTTTTGCCTTTAGTTAGTCAATCATGATAAAACAGATTTTAAATAAAAATGTCTTAACTGCAACAAAATAAAACGACATAACAGCATAAAAATAATAAAATAATACCCCCATTACCTTCTACGACATACAACTTGAGTTGGGAGTGAGAACGTGTTGTCTTCCCTTCAGGGTCGCGGGGGGGTCACTGGTGCCCATATCCACCAGTCACTGTGAGGGGCAGGGTACACCCTGGTACACCAAGTCTATCACATACCACATACTGTATGTAGTTACCAGAAAGTTAGCAATTAGCCTAACAGTCATGTTATTTTATTTTTATTTTTTTGTCAGTTGGACAAAACCAGAGTACCTGGAGAAAACCCACGCATGCATGGAGAGAAGATACAAACTCTATCCGGAAAGGTCTGAGGCTGGGATTTGATCGAGCAACCTAAAGGTCAATAGTGCAAAATAACGAAAAAGCAACGATGTAGCATACATACGTAAATAAATAAATAAATAAATAAATAAATAAATAAATAAATATAACAATGTCGATAGTACAACAAAAATTAGCATCCGTTGCATGCAGGCATGCTAATTGGGAACAACTTGGAGACTGCAGCGACTTTATTTTTYACTTCATCCATGAAAAACAAAGTGAAAATAAAAGAATCAATCTCGTCATGCTAGGCAGAAAAGTTTAGCAGGTCTTCTTGAMTGTTTACTCCGAGAGATGTCTTCAGTCTGAAGTAAAATAGTCTCTTTTGAGAGAAAGATGAAATGCTTTATTAAAGAAGAAACCATCTAGAACAGTATTTCCCAAAGTTGGGGTCGGGACCSAAACTGGGGTCCTGAAACATCAAGGTGGGGTCCTGAAAAGATTTTCTGAATTAATTACATTTTTGCCTTAGTTGTTACAAAGGAGTGAGGTTAGTGTATTTAAAATGGATGAAAGTAGTATAAAAATATTGTTACTATGCCTATGTTTTGTTGACCTGATACACATGTTTATCATCCAAACATAGTTGGGGGCACAGGTCTCTGCTACTGTTATTTTGTGGGTCAAAAGCTGAAAAGTTTTGGAACCAGTGCATTTTGGTTCCCAAAATTGGGCTTGGGACACAATTATGGGTCATGAAGCACCTTGGATAATCTCCAGAAATCAATTTAAAGGGTAATAAAATAATTGCTGATGTAATGTTTTCCCTATAATTATTACAAAAACACAAAATAAGTATAAATAAGTATTTATATTTGTGTACAAGCTGTTCAGATTGTGAAAAAGCCTGTGTTTTTAGGGTTATTTAAGAAGTTTGTGTGCTCAGACCAGTAATATTTGGGGTCACAATTTTTGCCATGGACATTTTGGGGGTCAGAAGACAAAAAGTTTGGGAACCACTGGTCTAGAAGACCTACTTAACTTTGTTTTTCTACCTGGATTACTGCGATGCATCAGGCCATCACGCTAGTATCACTCTATCATGTTGGTATTGATCCTTAGAAGATAAACCCACCCCTAGACCCTAAAGTCAGCTTGTGTCACAGCACACCTTGCCTGTAGCCCAACTTACATAGCACCTGGCCCACATTTTTTTTCCTTTGAGCTTGGTCTTGAAGCAAGGCTTGACCACCAGGTACTTGCCAGGGACCTGACCTTCCAGACCTGCCTCCAGGAAAATCCATAATTTTCCCAGATCTGGACAAGGTTTGTTCATTTTTCTTTCKTTTGCTCCCCTTTTGCGGAGGTCGCCACAGGTTTGTCAATTGTTTTACATCGGATGCAACCTCAGGAGTGCAAGACTGCAACATTGACCACGAGCAGTGGCAGGTCTAGGATTTTTCTGAGTAGGGGGCCATCAAGGGGCCACAATATTCATAGAGGGGCCAAGTATTTGTTCATCCTTGCACATTAATCCTCAGTTTTGGTAAGGTGTATAAATTTAACCGTTCACATATGTTCCAACAATTGTAACGTAATGCAATGTTATTAAAAAAAGCTTAAATTCTCCTTATAAATTTTACATGCATTTTTACTGTACATGGATAAAATATTCTCAAAGCATGTGAGAAAATGAAGCTATTGTTTGCCACTTGAAAGATAATTTTTTTGCAAAATTGTTCAAGTCTTTTAAAGAAGATAAGAAGGCTTCTGTAAGACTGATTCATGCTGGACTTTACTGTTTGACTCATTAGCGCCTCTAGCGTTTGGGCATGGAACTGCACCCAACATCATTGCTCTCAGGCAAAGGACAGATGAATGATGGTGCGTTCACACCGAACGCGATTTCAGCTTCAAAATCGCAGCCAACGCTGAAGTTTGAAGC